GAGCGTCGTACAATGCAAATCAGATGCAGGGTGAATCCAGCATTAAATCACCTATTGTAGATTTGGGCCGGTATTCATAGTCAGATCTTATATTCAAGACCGTCTTAAGTACGGTCTCAAGAAGTCTCGAACCAATCAGAAGGCTGCATTAGTGTCTTAAGACATTACTTAAGACAGTCTTGAAATAATCCCGGATCTACAATAGGGTTTTAAGCCCTAAGCCATAAGAAATGGGCGAATCACAGTCGCTTATTCTTCTCGGATTCGACTGTAATTGGTCAGTTTCTTACGACATAAGACATAAAACACCTATTGTAGATCCGGACTAAGACTCGACTATGAATACCGGCCTTGGACTAACCATACATATGGCCGCTGAACCAATAAGCATCCAACGTAAAGACGCCATGTTGATTTACATAAGATGCTCATTGGCTGCGTTCAGCAGACTCAACAGTTTTGCGATTCTTCACTGAGATAAAACTATTCCTTTAAATCTAGAAGTATAATCCAATCAGTGCGGCGAATCATAAAACGGTTGCAAAACTCCTGAGTCTGCTGAACGCAGCCATTGGTCTAGAAATCTTAAGCTGGAATTTCATCTGACGCTAGACGCTCATTTTCAGCGTCAAAACAAGTCACGTGATTAAAATTGACGCTTGGTATTCGTCAATTTTGATCACGTGACCTGTTTTGACGCTGAAAATGAGCGTCTAGCGTCAAATGAAAATCCAGCCTTAGGGAGCATTTGTATTGGCCGTAACTATATGCTGTATGCCATAAGGGTGGCACCCAGTTGGACACGGCTCAATTGGACACGAGCTACTCACAGCGCTTGAGACTATAAAGCTCCTAAGCACCGGTCGCTGTGATTGGTGGTGTCTAATCGAGACGTGGTCAATCGGGATCACCCCTGCCGTAATCTGTAAAAATTGACCAATTACCTTCGAGTATTCCCATCTTACTGCAATGAGAGGGGAATACTTGACTGTAATTAGTCAATTCTTACAGATTACGGCATACGACATACGGTTACGGCCAATATAAACGCTTCCTTATGCTTTAGTTATACAGCTTCTGCCATTTTGTGTGTGATTGACTTTATGGCTCCTGCACACAAAACGCGGCAGGCGTTGCCGCGTTCTGCGTGCAGGAGCTATTAGGTCTGTTCGCGTTGCTTGCACTTTTGACACTTGACATCTTTGCTTTCTCTCTTTTTAAAGCAAAATATGTGTCTATCTCATTTTAAGTGCAAAAATATTTAGGGATTTCATGCAACGCGAACAGACCTATTTAGGGTGCGTTCCATTTAACGTTCGCAACGCTCGCGAGCAGTATTTCATTCTTATATAATATATGAAAACGATAAGGACGAAACGATGCTTGCGAGCGTTGCGAACGTTAAGTGGAATGCACCCTTAGCCCGGATCCTCATACAGACACTGGCGCTTTGACACAGACCACTGATTGGTGAAAAGTCAGTTGTGGGGGTAAAATGTACCCCCATCAGCCGTTTCTCACCAATCAGCGTTCGGTGTCAAAGCGCTGTTGTTCGTACGAGGATCCGGGCTTAGAGGTCTCTAGTACTTTTTAGTACGTTTGCGATACTGACAAAGTCGGTGACATGTGTTCACACACACACATACACATAAATCACATAACCCTTTGACATGTGCAGTGTACGTGCTTGACTTTATCGTTTATAAAATATTATTTAACAAGTTTGTTGTTAAAGTAATACAAAATGGCTGTTGTTTTTCTCAGCAATATTATATCTACACTTGATGATATTCGATCGCTAGAACAAATAAAGAGGTAAGTTAAATATTATGAAGTCTTGATGATAACCTAAGATATTTTGAAATTAAGAAAATTTCTATTATCAGTGGTAATTACTACTATAAAAGAAAAGAGAAGTGATAATGAAATATATTGTTAAAGTATGATGTTAAAGTAATATATATAATGTTAGTAATTATATAGTTTAGCATAATCACCTCAAAAATCAATAAAATTAGGCTTATTGGATGCGTTTATGCCTGAAATGAAAGAATCTGGTAAAGCTGGCACGCTTTTTTTGCCAGATTCTTTCATTTCATGTAAAAACGCATCGATTGTCTAATTTTATTGATTTTTGAGGTAATTGTGCTAAACTATATAATTACCATAATATTAATATAATATAATGTTAAAATAAGTGTAATGATATCATCTAATGGAAATTTGTAATCAAGTATAAAATAAGAATATAAAATATTTGTGCATTAAACGTGAAATTCTGCAAAAGTCTATTTTGAAAATAAAATCTTTTTTCATTTTTAGTAGGAAAACTAAAATCAATGTAGCAGCCCTTACAAAAAATATCTATGATTTTGCCAAGAAACAATCCTGTAAAAGAGAAAAATCTTACACAAATACGAATGCGTTACCAGAATTAGTCATAGAAGGCTTTGATGAGGAGCAAATTTGGCAACAATTGGAATTGCAGAATGAGAGCGAGATAGCATACATTTTTAGGGACATTTCAGTTTTATCTGAAGATAAAAAGTTGACAATTCCCGTGAGCTCTAGAAAACCTGAGCCTATACAGATTGAAAATGATAATTTAGCTCAAGAGGCTGAAGGTATATCTGATGAGAAAGAATCAGAGGACGAAGATGTAGAAATTAAAAATAATTCAAAGAGAAAATATAAGAAAAAATCCTCGATTGTAGACGACAAGTTTTTCAAGTTACAGGAACTAAATGAATATTTAACTAAAGAAGAAAGAAAAGAGAAACAAGGAAAAGACAATGCTGGATCTGATGATGAATCATTGGATTTATTTAATGAAGTTTCCGAAGAAGAAGATGGAGATAACATTGAGAAATACATAAAATATACAGATTTCTTCGATAGTCCTGAAAGCGAAAATGAGCAAGTTAACAAAAGCCAAAAATCAAATTACGATGACAGTATTAAGGATTTTGAAGGGGAAGGATCAGAAGAGGAGGAAATGGATCTTGATGAAGAAGATGAAGAAGATCAAACAGTTAAAAAAGTAAGATTCAATCTTACGAATGACTCGGATGAGACAGATAGCTTGGAGAATAAGGTGAATCTTGATAAGAAAGACAAAGAAGAAAATATGAAGGAAGATATAGAATTGAAATCTACTTTGGAGGCTCGTCAAGAAAGGCTGTCAATGAGGATTAAAGAATTAGAAGATGAAGCGGTTAGTGAGAAACCATGGCAATTGAAAGGTGAAGTAAGTGGTCCAAATCGACCGCAGAATTCTTTGCTGGAGGAATTTTTGGTTGTTGATGTGAACAGAAGACCAGCACCTGTGATAACAGAAGAGACCACTTTGAAACTGGAAGACATAATCAAGCAGCGGATCAAGGATAAAGCTTGGGATGATGTCGAGAAAAAATTCAAGCCAGTCGAGACACCGTTAGAATATAAGAAAAAATTGATATTAAATCAAGAAAAAAGCAAGGAAAGTTTGTCGCAAATTTACGAAAAGGAGTATTTGAGACAAAAGCAAACATTAGATCCAGAAAACGATGAAAAAAAAGAGGAAACACCACAGTTTCATAATGAAATTCGACAAATGATGCGTTCTTTGATATCAAAATTGGATGCGTTATCCAATTATCATTACACCCCCAAAATGGTAAGATTTGTTATAATTTATATTAAAAATCAATCAGAGCTTCTATGAATATAGTTAATATATAAATATTAATAATAATAAAAATACATATTCTAAGATAAATGTTTCTTTGTAAATAGAAACTATTCTTGCAATTTGTATAAATAATTTTCTATTCTCGTTACAAAATATTTATATTTTGAGATATTCTTAATAGTTTCCAACTTTCATCGAAAGACGAGATAGCGCGTTTTTCGCACTAAATATATTTGAAGTTACAATATGTAATAAGATATATAATATATACGATTTTTATTTTAGGCCAAACCAGAGATTAAAATCATTAGCAATGTACCTGCAATTAGTATGGAAGAGGTAGCACCTGTCACAGCCACTGATGCAACTCTATTAGCACCTGAAGAAATTAAAAGTATCGTATTATATTTAATAAGACTATTGCATTGGTTTATGGGTTTTTTATTTTAAATAAAATAAAATAAAACTCTAACTTTTATTTCCAGCTAAAGAACGTGGCGATCTTATCGGCAAATCAGAACGAACGAAAACGGATATGAAGCGCGAGAGAAGACGAAAGAAATCGAGGCAACGAGCCAAACAGCAGGCAATAGAAAAGAAGGATAAATTAAGAGCACTGCAACCAGGAATTGCTAAGAAGTACAAAGATAAGAAAGAAAAGGCTGCGTTAGTTAAGAAAATAACTAAAGATAGAAACGTTACAAAGTTAAATGAAACAACGCATAAAGTTGTGAAGTCCTCGACTGCATTTTTCACGCAGTTACAAAATCAAGTTAAAAATAAAATTAAAAAAGACAATTTTTCCAAGAAGAAAAATTAACGCTACTTCGGCTGTAAGATCGAAATTGTAAATTTTGTATTTTAAATTTAAATGAGATTTAAATAAAAAATTGTGTTATATTTTTCATCATTCCTTTTGATGATTTCATTATGTTTGTTTATTATATCTTATTGCCTTTTTTGTGTTATTATGAATATAATAGCAAAGGAACTAGCAAGAATTATTAAAGAACTTACTGTAACGTAAATTCTTTACACTCTTTGTGTAATGTAAGATACATATATATACACTAAAAATATTTTTTATAGCTTTATTGCATGATATACGTATGCATTTCTAACACCCTTCGCTCTTTAAATCATAATAATCGCGATTTCTTGTGGAGCTATAATATATGAGTGGATATTGTGCAAAGGAATATATAACAATGGATAAGGGATTTGTGAAGTAATAATCTTTTTCTTTGATAGAGACGAATTCATACTTAACATTCGCATATAAATATTGATGCCTGCATCAGGCTCAATATATTAGTTATTGTCAAAAAGTGATGGTACTATTCTCGTCACGATGTAGGATGATTAAAAAAATCATGCGTATATGTATAGTTCATATATTAGTGAAAAATGTTCCCAATTCATCATGATATGCTGCAATTTCGTTTCAATGTGCTTGTCAAAATTTGCTAAAACACGTACAAACGCGCTAAGTCACACGTGGTTACTTATAAATGCAATTATTCGTATGTGTAACATTATCTATATTTTTTTCTTTAAGAATATCTAAAAACGTGTCTTGCACAGAGAAGCAAAGGTGGATTACACAATTTTTGTACATTGTCAATGTCTCGAACGATTTCTTATCGCGTGTTGATTTATGATTGCACTGTTTATAATTACAAAGATCTAAATTAAAATAATTAAGCTAATCTTATAAATCTAATGATAAGCTGGTATTAAAATTACCGTGATTTGTGTATAGATTTTTGATTGAGAAGTTTTTTAAAAATATTTTTTCTTATTGTTTAGAGTACACTTGTTATTTTCATTTTTCTTTTTCTTCGTTAAATATTTATCGAATCGCATGATACAGGTTAAAATTGTTATGAAAATTAAAATTACGTTACTTCACTTGTATAATAAGCACAGATGCTTACATATATTTAGAATACTTGTAACAAGGCCGTGAATATTTATCTATAGGCCATTCACTCAACTAATCAATCAACTTTATACACAACTTTCACCGTTATGAGTAGATTTTATAATATTGGAATTAATTTCAATTTATAATTTCAGATTTATTAAAGTACAATCATCTAAATCACTGAAAGCATTGAAAGCGTTTCTCAGTTATTAATATCTTCATCGATTACGCATTTAGTTTCAAATGTAAAATTTATAAATGTAAAACTTTATTTTTTTTAATAGCTTATGCCAAATGTGGATAGCCCATCTGTGCGTATTATATTCATTTCGAGCACTAATTAATAACCGTCATGAAGGTACAGTTGCTCTTGATGTTTTAATGATATTTCCAGTGAAACCATGCTCGTTTAGATAATTATTTCAAACGCATGACGGTAGCATCTGATACCCATGACAATGAATAAAAAATCTCTCATTAGAATACGATGTATAATATGTAAATAATCCAGTAGACTAGGCTGCCCTAATCCCAGTGCGATCGTTTTTGCAGAGTCTATATATGCGGTGCTAAATTGTTAAATCGCGTTTCTTCTTTCTCCATGAACGATCCTCCGGATGCTGGTGTGAAGGTGCGGATTGTGATACCCAAGATCAAAATCCCCGAAGTGATATCGAACAGCCGGAGAAAGCCTCGAAGAGAGAGAATTCCTCTAAAGTAGAAGCTGCTTCTCAGAGGCGTATCGCCTTTCTCGTTGCTACTCGAAATTAGTGTTGAACATATTCAATTCCTCGAAGCCGGACGAGCCACCTTGATCTTGCAGCATCTGCAGCATGTCAGACAGCTCTTGTGGTTGTGTGCCGGGCCCGGCCTGTCCAGGATGCGGTGGTTGCGCTTGCGCGGACACCTGAGCGCCGGTTTGTCCATCCGGTTGCTGCGTTTGATGCTGTTGACTCTGCCAACCCCACATACCTAATGACAAATGCAAATTTGATTATTAGCAATTTCGCATATCTAGAGAAGTAGATTAAGGTATGTTGGACTAACCAGGATTATTAGGCACTGTTGTGACTGCATGATATTGCTGTGTAGCTGGTGTTCTAGCACCGCTACTAAGCTGAGTATACGTCGGTCCGCTCGGTGATCTCGATGGACTTAATTGACTATATTGGTAACCTTCCGTTACAGGTTGCTATTGGAAAATGTAATAATTTTAGACATTTGTAACTTTTCGAATCTATATGGAAAAACGAGAAATTTAATACCTGTCTTCCAATTGCCCATGGTTGCGGAGTTGGAGATGTATTAGCCGGCTTCTGAATCCTACTTAAGACCGACGAAGATGCACTTTGTTGTCCAGGTGATCCATAAGCTATCGGCGATTGCGTTGTCTCATAGCTTTGATATACGTTCTGTGTGCTGGACGGCCTCGGTTGTTGCGGACCTGAAAATAATATGCATTCAATGTTTGACGTTTGACATGCAAAAAATAATAGAGAACATGCGATAATTGTCTTACTGGCTGTAGCTACAGCAGCTGGATGCTGCATCATGTGATGTGCAGAGTACAGCGGATCCCTGGTAGGATGTCTCTGAAGAGAATAGTCCAGACCAGGTTGTCCATATGCAGGTACAGCTTCGCTTTCCGTTTGACCGTCGCTACTAGGATGAAACGACCTGGATAAAGACATGCGAATATTTTTTTTTCATGTATGTGTGTATGTGTGTGTGTGTGTGAAAGAAAAAAAAAATATAATATATAAAACATCTTTGAGGTTTTAAATGTAACTCCATTCTTACTTTGCATGCGTGTTTGTGCAGACGATATATTCGATGTCTTCATTGAACGGATTTAAAAACGCAAATGCCGACGTCCTCAACCACACCCAATCACGATTCTTAGCCCGAAATCTGTACATTACAGACACGACTTGTCCTTTCAATTTCAATACTAAAAAACGAGCCACAGGTTAATAATATAAGCAGAAACATACATTTAGATATGTGAGGCATAATATCGAGTATTACCTTGTTCAAAACTCTCTCGCATATGTGTCAGATCTTCCGGATGGAAAAATTCGTAGCAAGGATGACCTAGAAGTTCTGATGGAGTATAACCCAAAATTCCGCCAACTCTTTGATCCACAAAGGTAAATTTACCTTCTGCAGAATGACGTGATATAAATTCTATAACGAACAGAAACATAATTTATAATGAAAATTATAAGCTTTTGCATTGTTACATGAATAAAGGGAATTTTTATTTGTCAAGTGGTTCCTGCACAGACAAGATACGACACGGTAGTCAATCAATTTATCGCTTTTCCGTAAGAACGATAAACCATTGATTATCGCGTCGCATTTTGGCACATCTTGCGTCGCAAACTTTGCCACGTCCCGTGTGCAGTAGCCAAAACTTCTAATTAAATTGTTAATGAAATGATACTTACCGCTATTGCTATTAGAACCTGCTAAGTCGCTACTATTTGGTGTGCTAGTGACCTGTAATCGCCCAATGGCGACAAGGCAGCAATGCGTGGAGGCATTTTCATCCGTAACTACACCGTCTGGACCAGTTTGAACGCACCCTGAACCTCTGTCACCTAGACCCATATTTGGTACACACGGGAGAACAAAATCACCTACAGCGTAAAATCATGAATCAGTTCATGATTTCCCGTTGATCGGCTCTAAGAAATTCGTCTTACATACTAAAAAGCTATACGTTAAAAATCTCATACTGATACATTGACGTGATCGCAATAATAGTCTCAATAATAATTTATAATTGTAATGAAACTAAAACGTGAAAACGTTGAAATTTGAAAGTAAAGCGATCGATTTATTACACTTCTATTGCATTTAATGTGCGCCAAAGACATCACTGTATCTTTCTTTTTTAACGTAATCGATAAGATTGAATTAATCAGCGGCTGCCACAAAGCTACCGGAACAAAAAAGCTACGCACGTGATCATGAATATTAAACAAATATGTTAACAGCCGTTAACTACCTCGTCGCGACTTTTAATAGTGACTTTCCATTCAGTGGTGAAACGAGTACTCTGAAGAGATAAATATTTCAAATCAGAAAACGTATATAATCAATGAGAAAAGCACCTGATAATATTCTTTCTTTTCTTAGATTGGATAGATTTATCATTTGAATATGCAAATTCGTCGTATTTTTCCAGTTTCTGTGTTACTAACTTTTCATAGCTGATCAAAAGCAAATACGACACGTTAAATTAAATGCGGAGTGTTTAACGAAAGATACCAAGTCGAAAAATTCAGTCACGGCAGTTCTTAATTTACAGTACACACGTGGTATACGCGTTCCGTCGTGTTCCAGGAACGGTTCGTTCGTATTCCTTGAGCGCGACGTCTCCCCCGCTTTAAAATAGAAAGCTGGGGCCCGCTGTACGTTGCGCTCGAGAAAGAGAAAAAGAGAGAAAGAAAGAGAGAGACCGTTACCCGGGTGGCACATCGACATACAATCTTATGCGATTCTCTCGACTCAGCACACCCGTGTCAAACTCACCGGTAGGTGGCCAATTCTTGATGTATCCGGTACAGTGCACCACCGCATAGTTCTGGCCATCTCGCGCCGGCGGTCCCAGAGAGTTCCTTTGCTTCATACGATGTAGTCCGTGTGCCGCTGCCATGTCACCCGAGGTTTGCAGGCTCCCGACCTTCATGCGACAGATAAAGCCTCTTCTTGAGCCCATACATAGTCGCATCGAGGCTGCAATTGGAAGACCCATTATGTGTTTGCGCTTAAATATTTTTCCCCGAAAAAGGGGATATCCTGATGTATCGTTATAATTAACAATCTTCAAAACATCTGTAAAATTATTTAGTAATATAATCAATAATGAAACAATAATAAAGTAA